AGAGCGGTGTTAAAGTAATCAAACATTTCTAGTAAAAAGTCAAATTTGCATTTTTTTCAGCAGAGCACAAAAAGGCCTTCATGTTTAAGAGAATCAGATAAAAATAAAAACTTGAGTAAAAAAAGTTCACATCACATCTGTTTGGATATTTGATGAGGTTTGTGACTTCAAAAGTTCAGATTTTAGTATAAAATCAGAAACATTACTCACTCATGTTTGTGAGAGCTCCCTGCAGCAGCAGCAGCCATGTTTGTTGACTGTCAGGGTCGCCTTAGAAACCTCCCAGTGCATGGTGGGTAAGGGGTAGGATTACAAGAAGAGACCTTGGGAATGAATCAGTGAACTGCTGATTATAACTGACTGAGGTCTGATTTAAAATCTACTGGGCAAGACTCGGTATTTAAAAAAAGAAACGCATTGTTCAGGTGAGTGAGCAACAAATCCAGGAATTTGGGGGGTTATTTTTTACCATGTGACATTTGTTATGCATGTGTCCAGGCCTGTACTACAATAAAGAAGGAGTTCATAAGTTTCTGGAGATCCCTCTCATGAAGCACAGAGGTTCTCTGCAGGGTGCAGGAGCAAAGAAAGGTGATCTCCTACATCTGCAGCTTTTGTTTTTTCTTTTTTTTGTCAGGCTCATGTTGGCGTTAGGGTTCATTTGTGCCCCTCAGTCACACCAGCACATCGCCTGAACATCGCTAACTGAAGCCATTTGTTAACTAAATATGGCAGCTAAACTGAAATCATTGCTGCATTCAGCTCACACTGGGATGAGAAAGATTACAACATGCAGGCGTTGGTGATATTGGGCAATATGCTTGTTTGCATTTTAAGGCGCTGTCGTTTTATTAACCACCAAGTCAGATATATTGGAAATTTCAAAAAGATTTTCCAGTCTCCCAGTCAAAGCTTCTTGGTTGTATGTGTGGAAGCTGACATGGCGTTCACATGCCTTTACATGTTGAAACTGGTGCAGTCCAGTAGCTCCTGAGCCACAGTTGGTGCTTCTCATGTATTAGCAGCGTACCATTATAAAAGAAAAAAGTCCTCTGATCTTGTCAGAGCTTGGTGCGTTCAAAGATGCACCAACAAATCAGAGTTGGCTGCTGAACAACTTTTAATGTTAAAAACAACCAGATTTTAAATTGTCCATTTTCCATGTTAATATAAATACATCTGGGGTCTGTTCAGGATGTGACAGCACAAGTACTACTGTTGTGAGAAGTGCTCCTGGTTTTGATTGGTCAAGAGATGTGAGATCACATCACAACTGAGTGGAAACATCCGAAGCTGAAAAATGAAGTCAGTGTGGAAGTGCCAAAAACTGCAGTTCATCAAATGTCCACTTGGGACTGGCTCCTTAAGTGCAACACACACCGCCGCCATACGCCGCGTGTCAAAACGCCCTCCTCCTTTATATTCTATGAACCAACCCACACTGGTGCCGGCCGACGCGCGGCGCCGCTCTGCTTCAGCCCACTGCTCTATTTCCAGTGCGGCCGACGCTCATGGCGGCGCTGCGAGAAAAGCCTTTTATGTACATTTCGGCCGCCGTAGTATCAACTCCGGTTGTTTCAAATTTTTAATAAGACGACTTTGATAAGAAACTCACCTGTGAAATCCAAGCTGTTGTTGCCTCAAAGTTTTTCCTCTTCTTCTTCCGTTACTAGCAGTTGGCAACCGTTGGCAACTAGTGAAGGTACAGCCACCTAGCGGGCTGGGGTGGGAAATACATGTCGACGGTGCCACTGCGCGCCGCTGCCAGTGTGTGTTGGGGGCGGCACTTGACGGCCACAGCGCAGTGCCGGCGGCGGTGTGTGTTGCACTTTATACCCCTCAGTCACCACAGACCTCCATGTTAAAATGTCCAACTTCACAGCAGAGCTAAACATGTTTACAGCCTGGTTCAGAACAGTTTTGGTCTCTATCGCTGATTTTCACATTCATGACCAGAGTTGGGTATAACGCGTTACAAAGTACAAAGTAACGCGTTAGAGTACTTTGATTACTTTTTGCAGTAACGAGTAACCTAAGGCGTTAGTTTGCTGTTTGAGTAATCAAATACTTGAGTACATTTTCAAACAAGACATCAGTTACTTGCATTACTTTTAGAACGCTGGTCCTTCAGCTCTGAAACAGCAACGACTGTCTTTTGGTTCTAATAACGGAGATAACGTTAAACCTATCAGTCTGAAAGAAGCCACGGAGCTTGTGGCTCGCTACGTGGTAGAAGAAATGCTGCCGTTGTCTACGGTGGAGTCTAAAACATTCCACGGGATTGTCAGTAAAATCCCCATGACTCAACAGATGGAGGAGGACTCACTGGCAGACAGGTCAGACTCAGGACTTGCATTATGCCTGGTACACGCTACACAACTTTTCTGCCTGTTCTGAAAGTCAGAAAAGTTGTGTAGCGTGTACCAGGCATAATGCAACACGCTACACAACTTTTCTGCCTGTTCTGAAAGTCACTATGTCACATTACACAATTGTGGAGTCATCAAATCGTGCCGTGACTTGGCCGACAGACATGACACACTACACGCTGGTACTCACCAATTATCCCCGGTCGTCTTTCACAGCGTGTGTGATGTCATCGGGTTATTCTTGTCCTATTTTTATCACTTTCACTATTATTTGAGTCACTGTGTGTGTTCATGTGCCAGCCGACATGTTGCTGTAGTCACCTAAAAGCGTCAGCAGATGGAGCTACATTTGAAGCACTGCAAACATTCAAGCTACTGTATCCTCCACAACCAAAAAAGCCTATTTAGAAAAGGGAGGGATTCTCTCAGCCGAGGTTATAAGGGGCTTTTAATTTGAAACAAGTGTTGAGTTTGAAATGACGGTGCGATGTGTTAACTTTACAAAGACAACGGGAGCGGATAAAAAGTAAATATATAAACACACAGAGGGATTAATAAATAACGGAGCGTCTATAATGTAGTTTGTTTCAAATGAAGCTGGGAGCCTCTGCAGTTGTGGTGAGTAAAAGCCCCGCCGCTATTTGTTAATGTTATTACTTTATGTCCGACCGTGAGGATGTACCATTGTTTGCTAGCTTGATGCTAATGACAGTAACGTTAACTCAGCGGGTTGACAAAGTGCCTCTGCTGTTTCACACCATCATTACCCCCTTTTACTCTGTGTGGTAACATCCCTAGAGGAAATATTAAAAACGCTGGGGTGTTGTTGTCATACAGTTGTCTACGGCAGCAGATCGTTGTGTGTTTCTACTGGTCAAAGTGACGGCTGTGATGGGAGAACTGGATCTCAGTGAAGGGCAAGTGGTCCATAACTTTAATTTTGGAGACAAAAAAATGTAGGCTTAGCGCCCTGTGGTCCATTGGCCAATAGGAAATGTAGAATACTCAAAAGTACTTTAAAAATACTTGAGTTACTTTACTCAGGGAGTAATGCAGTAAAGTAACTGGTTACTTTTTAAAAAGTAATGCAGTAAAGTACTTTGATTACTTTTAAAGTAACCCTTACCCAACTCTGCTCATGACAACTATACAGGGAGGAATTTTAATATAACTCACTGGTTTACAGTTTATTAAGGCTTAAAGTTACGTATTGAGTGACAAGCTGTCTGCTGACAGTGTCCTCAGCTTCTCAGTCAGATCCACTTCTCGCTCCTCCACAGCTCCAGCCTCTTACGCAAATATGGTCACATCTGGCCCCCCCAAAAAACACAAAATGCCAAACTCAAGGCCTCAAACACCAGCCTACAAACCAGTGGGTGACATTAAGGTGGCTGCGTCCATTATTTTTACAGTCTATGATCACAACCCAAGAAAAGGCAATGGATACAGTAGAGCTAAATGAAGAACTACAAGGTTTTGAGCTGCTGCTTCCTCGTCTTAGTTAACTGTGGTCTACCATGTTTACATGTCCACAAACCAACATGCTCCATAACCATTTTTTAAGCTAATTACACATTTTGTTTAACCTGACATCAAAACAACTGGTCTGGACACAACAAGCACTCACAAAGGAATCAGCACCAACTACAGCACCACGATGCTCTTTAATGGCAAACATCTGAAATGTTACAGTTTGTAAAATGCAAGAAGTGAAGAGAGGCTCAAGTACAGCTTTAAGGCAGCGTGAGGTAAACATGAGTTAAACCCAGTCAGGGTTGTGAAGTGGGTCAAAGGTCAGAGCTGGTTTTCAGTCCTGAATCCCATCATGTAGACAGAAATGTGTCAACCATGAAGCTGAACAAAAGTTGGAAGATAAATCCAGCTCTGAGAACACGACCTTGATCCCATCAGACACTGTAAACAGAGGTGAGTTCACTGTGACCACACAACAGTCGAGGTCAAAAAACTTAAAGTAAATACAGCAACATGAGCTGATTTCTTGCACAGACAGAAAAATAAAAAAGTTACCGCCTTCTAAAACAATCAGCTGAAATATAGGAGCCTTTAAAATACTGCTGTTTGTACTACATTTACATCAAGCAGACGCAGTACTGTTATAATACTGCTGAATCAGCTTTCAGCCGATGAAACCTTAATCACAGTTTGATCTGTAATCACAGCTGGTTTTTGTTTCAGCCGTCTCCTGTGGTTTTAACTTTCACCTTGCTGCAGTGATGTCACAGTGTACTCCAGGTGTGTCAGTGCACTGTGACATCACAGCTGGGCGTGGTTACAGGTGAAACAGACTCGTCACCACGGAGGGAAGAGAAACACTCTTTAGCAGTATCTAAAGTGTTTGTGCGTATCATCATTTTACAACACATTCTCACTGTGACCTCGTCACATATCGACATTTGGTCATGGACTTCCCACGTCCACATACGACGTCCAAGGTACCCTGGGTGTGTTGGTTATTGACGGTCTGGGATGCCGTGTCAACTTCAGCCTGTTACATGTATTGTCTGTTTTCAAAATACACTTCTGTTTTCACAGGAAATGTACAGTTTGTATACAGTCTCTTTCAAAATAAAAGACACTGCAAATTGACGTTTTTTTCCTTCAACGACAAACACATGTGGTTGGGTTCAGGAAAAAAGAACAGGGTTTGGCTTTCAAACACCGGCCTCCTGGGTGTAAGTCTGCGGTTGTTGGACCCATCCCACCCTCTTTCGTCCACCCAACTTGGACTTTTGCCTATTATCCAGCCACGTTACCCCTGACACTGCTGGCTGCCATTACAGAATAACAGTGGCCAGTCATGTATCACGCTGACACAACAATACTGCTTTTCTTGTCGATGTCTGATGCTGGAAGTCAATGACTTAAAGAGCCGATATTACATGTCTTCGGAGTGAGACTAGATTGTTTTTTCAAGCTCTTCATATTAAAGCATTAATACATCTCAGTGACGTCAGTTTAAAACATCTGCTACATTTAAACTACATATTTACAGTATATTTACAGAAGTGTTTACAGCATCATATACTGGTTTCCAGTACATTCAGGCGGCTTCGTCCAGCAGTCTCTGCAGGTTCTTCTGCACCTGGAAAAACAGACGTCATGTATTATATTAACTGTTAACAGTTACAGAGAAGCAGTCGTTAGATCTCAGGCTCCCTCCAACAAAGCTCATTACATAATACTAGTCCATACCCACTGAGTGCACAGTTGCCCACGTACAGTTTCACATGGTGTGTGTTTGGGATACAGGTCATAGGAAACTGCAGATTAAATAGTCAACTGAACCCATTAAGAAGAGCAATGTA